ATACTCTTCTGTATCTCTGTGATATCTGGTGTAATATTGCCTTTTACATCACTGAATATATTTATCTGATTCCATTCTCTGTTTCTCTTGATTAGTCTAGCTAATATTTGTAGATTTCATTTATCCTGTCCAAAAAAAATTTTTAGTTAAAGTTTTGTTTTATTCTTTTATTCTCTATTATATTTACTTCTGCTCTAGTCTTTATTATTTCTTTTGTTCTGATATTTTTGGATTTTTTTGTTATTGCTTTTCTGGTTCCTTGAGTTATGTCAGTAGGTTATTTATTTGCATCTTTCTGTTTTTATCTCGTGAACACTAATTGCTGTAAACTTCCCTTGGAGGACTACTTTCACTGTGCAATGAAGACCACAGAGAGATGTATGTTCATTATCATTGGGTTCAAGACTTATTTAACTTTGATCTTAACTTTTTTAGTTGTAAAATCATTTAGAGGAAATTGTTTAATGTCCTTGTATTTGTATATATTTATATTTTCACAATTATCTGTTGTTGGTTTCAAATTTAATTCCCTTGTGGTAAGAAAAGATGCTAGGTGTAGTTTCTATACTTTAAAATTTATAAGGCTTGTTTTGTACCCATTATGTCATCAGTCTTCAAAAATGTTCCATGTGGGGTTGAGAAAAAGTATATTTTGTAGTTATTGAGTGAAATGTTCTATTGATGTATGTCAGGTCCACTTGATTTATGGTATTATTTAGCCTCTGTGACTCTTTATTTTGACCTAGATGACCTGTCCAATGGTAACATTGGGGTGTTAATATTTCCACCAATTAGTGTATTGCAATCTACCTCTCTGTTTAGCTTTAGCAGTCTTTTTTTCTATGTATTTGGGTGTCCTAGTGTTGGGTGTCATAAATATTTATAATTGTTATAACTTCTTGGTGAATTAATCTCTTTAATACTATATAGCATCCTTTTTTTGGTCTCTTTTTACAGTTTTTATTGTAAAATCTACTTTGTCTTGGGACCAGCAGTTGGCGTAATGGCTATGTCGTTGGACTACCATGTAGTCAACTGTAGTTCGAGTCCCAGACTCGGTGGCTTAAACTCATGCCAGGCACATGTGTTGTGCGTGCCCAAGATCCTGAGAGGAGAATTAAGGAGAAGGGATTGAAGCATGGCCATACCCCCTGAGGGGTGCTTTCTCACTTTCTATCTCTCTGTCTTTCTGGTGAGCGGGAAAATGCCATATAAAAAAAACCTCAAAAAAAAAAAAAAAAAGAAAATTAAAAAAAAAAAAAAAAAAAAACTATGTTGTCTGATATCAGTATCTGTACTCCATCCTCATTTTGATTTCTGTTTGTGTGATGACTTTTTCCAGACCTTCACTTTCAATTTATGTATGTCTTTAACAATGAAGTGTGTGGGGGTTTTTTTGTTTGTTTTTTTAAGAGGATTTTGCTATAGGGCACGTGCACTCGCCAGAAAGATAGAGACAGAGAGCTAGAAAGCGAGAAATCACCCCCCGGGGAGGATGGCCACACCGCAATCACTTCTCCTCCAGTCTCCTCTCAGAATCGTGAGCATACACACACACATGCCTGGCGTGAGTTTAAGCCACCAGGTCCAGGACTTGAACCGCAGTTGACTAGGTGGGAGTCCAGCAACATAGCCATTACGCCAACTGCTGGTCCCACAACGAGGTATGTTTCTTGTAAGCAATATATAGAGACTCTTGGGTTCTTATCCATTCAGCCAATCCTTTTATTTTAATTGAGGAATTTAATCTATTAACATTCAGCATTATTATAAATATATGCAGACATAGCTCTTGCAGTTTGCTAGTCATTTTCCTAGGTTTTTCTTTCCTCGTTTTTTTTTTTTTTTTTTCATCTTTTTGATGTAGTATTACCTGAAGTATTTCTTAAAAAGCTGGTCTAGTGTTGAATTATTTAAGATTTTGTTTATTGGGAGTGATTTTATTTATTTTTCTCATTGAAAGATAATTGTTCTGAGTTTAATATTCTTGACTTTTTCTTTCTTTCAGAACTTTAAATATGTTACCTCATTCCTTCTTCTGTTGAAAGGTCTGTGATTAGTCTGATGGTATATCCTTGATAAGTAACTTGAGTTTTTCTTATCTCATTTTTAGAATATTGTCTTGTCTTTAGCTTTTGCAATTTTGACTATGATTTTCCTTAGTGAGGATCATTTTATATAGAATGTATTTTATTTTATAGTCTTTGTATTTCCTGGATCTGTATGTCTGTATGTCTCTAGATTTGGAAAGTTTTCAGACAATATTCTGTGAAAGAGATTGTCAATGTCTATTTGTCTTTTCACCTTTTGAAATATGCATTATGCAAATATGTAGCCACTTAATATAATGTTATCTCAAATTTCCCTTACGTTGTCTATTTTCCCCTTTCTTTACTTCATTATTGTTGTTGCTATAAGGTATGTGCACTCATCAGAGATACAGAGACAGAGAGAAAGATGTGAGAAAGCACCACTTACCCCCAGGAAGATTGCCATGCCACAGTCCTTTCTCTTACACTCTCCTCTTGGGACTTTGAAGACAAACATGCATGTGCCCAGCATATTCCTCAAACTGCTGGGTCTAGGACTTGAACCATGCAGTTAACCATGGGGAGACCCATTTCCCCCAACCTCCATGCCACAGTCATGTCCTCATTTTTCATGGTTGTTTTTTCATTCCTTTTGATGGCTTAGACTAAAATCAGAGATGTTTTTCTTCCAGGTCAGGGATTTTTTTCTTCTATGTGATCTAATCTGCTCTTAATACTTGGAGCAGTTTTTTATATCCTATATTATATTCTTCATCTCTAGAAGTTCTGTTTGATTCTTTTTGAGGGTGGCTATCTCTACAGAACTCTCCATTTATGTCATGGAATATTTTTCCCACCTCCTGGAATTGGTTGTTTCTTTTCTCTTGTATCTCATTGAGTTTTGTTATGACAAATATTCTGAATTCCTTTTCTGACATTTTTGGAATTTCTCATGTTGTATCTATGGTTGGTGAGGAATTATTGTGTTCCTTTGGGAAAGAGAGATCTTATTGTTTTTCATTTATCTGTGTGTCTGCATAGATTTTGAAACATCTGGTGAAGTACTCACTTCTTCAGTTTAGGGAGGTCCAGGAGTCCTGAGCTGTGGGTAGTATCTGTTAGGGCAAGTAGCCATTTTCTTAGACATGAGTATGCAGGAAAGGGTTGGACAGATGATGATCCCAATGCCGAGGCAGCTTCAATTCCACACTTATACTTCATACTCTGTCTTCCTACACCATCATGAAGCTTCAGAATACTTCTATTTATTTCTTTAAGATTTATTTATTTTATTTTATTTGCTATTATTACTTATTTTTTAAATTTTACAAGAGAGAGAGAAAAGGAAAGTGAGAAAGCAAGTCACTGGGTCCAGGATTTGAACTGTAGTCAGCTACATGGGAGTCCAGTACCTTAACCACCATGCCACCTACCAGGCCCCAGAATACATCTTAATGTTGGTTAAAAACAGAACATACTGATAAAAAATTTGTGAACACCTTAACATTGTTCAAGAGAATACTGGCATAGTAAATAGTAAATAAGGAAAAGCACTATCTTCTATTTACTTTTTCAAGATAATTCTACCAATTTCAGAAACAGTAAATTTGCTCTTAATTTATCTATTTTAACAAATATCCCTTTTACAATTGTATGATATCATGGGAGAAAATAAGCAGTATAGCTGTCTTCTTTCCAGCTAAATTCCCTGTCTTCTTACTTTTCTATTGTTTATTAGTTTATACAACAATGTCTGTTCTAATATGTTCTTTAGAGGAGTGCCCACAGATGGCCCACATCTGCTAATTCTACCTAAAGATATTTCTGGAGATTTATTCTTTCCTTTTTCTCTCTTGTACCTCTATTTGTTGAAGATGGTTTCATTTCCATTTTTGTTGCTATGGAACTGGTAATAAATAGAGTAATATTATCTCTAGTGAATCTTTTCTTAAATCTAGGAAAGTAGGCTCTATCTGTAGTTCGTGTCATTTATAACTATTAGAACATTCTAAGATATATTCTTGATTTATCTTAATTCTTAAGCTGCAAATATTAGAAACGCCTGTCATATTAAGATTTTTGTTCCATCCAAATTCAAATTTAGGAAAAGTAACCATGGAATTACCCATAGGAACTCATTGATTTTCCAGAGGAGATCCAACTATATATTAATCAACAATTAAATTGTTAAGTGTATAATTAGCAATTAATCTGCTTGTTATTTTCTAGCACTTGTGTCTATAAGGTCACTTGTGAACAAGGTTTCTTAAAGGTGTTCTCTCAGGACCAGCAGTTAGCATAATAGCTATGTCACTGGACTCCCATGTAGTCAACTACAGTTCGAGTCCCGGACCCGTGACTTAAACTCACACCGGGCGTGTGTGCATGCGTGCCCAAGATCCCGAGAGGAAAATGGAGGAGAAGGGATTGCAGCATGGCCGTCCCCCTTAGGGGGTAATTTATCACTTTCTGTCTCTCTGTCTCTGTCTTTCTGGTGAGCATACACGCCCTAGAGCAAAAACCTCCCCCCCAAAAAAAGTGTTCTCTCTATATATACATATGTGTGTGTGTGTGTGTGAGTTTGTGTGTGTACACACACATATAAATATACAAAAAAAGTCTTTTCGGAAAATAAGTAGGAAAGGAAGAATCTCTGTTTCTGAAATTACAGCTAGCACTGACTGCATTCCTGTAGTTTCTATATGGATGATTAGTTTGCATTGTCCAGCATCGAATAGATTTTAACCAAGTAGCCATTTGTAGTACAGGAACTCTGGTCACTTGACTCATTTTGTAGGACTAACCTGATGTTAATTTGGGGACAGTATGTTTTTCTTCTCCAACACATTTTACCTTCTCTCTAGTCCTCTGACACCTGATTTTACCCATCAAATAAGATGATCACACTCCCTCCTTACCTCTTCCTGAATGCAAATCTAACACATTGTGATTTACTTTTGTCTTTTTCAGATTCCTGTTTTGGTCACACAGATAAGTTCAACCAATCATCCAGTGAAAGTGGGGCTGTCAGATGCATTTGTCGTCGTCCACAGGATCCAACAAATTCCCAGTAAGTAGAAGAAGGGTAACTAAAAAGTGTGAACCTTCTGTAGGGTACATTGAAAAGAAACTGTGGACCCGTCCCTTAGCCTTGTGGTTAAGGGAACCATATACCTGACTGTGGTTTAAATCTTGACCCTAGAGGCTTATAAAACATGCCACTGTATATACATGTGTGTTCAAAATCCCAACAGGATGGAGGAATTGAAGGAGAAGGGACTGCAGCATGACCACTTCTAGTGGAGTGTGGGGGCTGGGGGGGAGCACTGAGGTTATTTCTCTCTCTCTCTCTCTGGCAAGAGCATGCATCCTCTGGCAATTAAAATGAATTAATTAATTAAATAAATAACAAGGAAAAAAAAAAAAAACAGGAGATTAAGCTCCAGGCAGATATATTGAAAAAAAGCAATCACTTAGCTAGTTGATGCTTGTTAATTATATCATTAGGCTTATTACTTCTGTTGGCATTGGCTATCTCAGTTACTCTTAAATTAATGACTTATGTAAAGAGAAATTAGTCAAGCCAAGAATGCATGATTTGGATTCCTTAGATAGTGGACTTGGGTGAGCAGATATAGTTCTTTAATTAATATGAAAAACATAAAAGAGTGACCAATTATTTAAATGATAAGCATATGACATTTTATGTTTGTTCACTTATTTTAAAGAAGTTTATGAGGAATGGAGCAGCTTTCTGCTATTTTATGTATAATGTGTAAAACTAATTTGGCAGTATAAGGAAAGATGAAAGAAAAAGTGTATATTTAGGTAAATTAAAATTTGGTTGGGCCATTAAATAACAGAGAAAATATGTATTTTCTTCATTTAAATCATTTTTGCCTATGTAGTGTAGTTCACATTTTGAAGAACCTAAACGTATGTGTTACTTTTGGTTACTATATGTTCCACATGATAAAACTGTAGTTAGACTTCAGGGTCCCTATATAATTTTGCATTCCTTGTCATAGTATAAAAGAATAACTCTTATGTTTTAGTGGGAAAAATGAACTTTGTGTTCATTATATTATAAAATCGTAATATAAACTGAATTTTGTAGCAGCTCTTATTAGGTAGTCATCTTTTAAAAGCTTCTGGGTTTTAAACCTCTTTTAAGTCAAGAACAGTCTGAGAGATATTTCAGCATATTAGTACAGGAGCGTTTGTGTCCTAGATGTGCCTATTTAAAGGATGATAATAAGCCAAATCTCAAGTTTAGATCACTTCTCTTCCTTTTATTCAAAGTTCTTGTTCTTTATTTCATTATAGCAGTAGACAACTTATTACATGCATATGCTGTCTGGTTTTGACTCGAGCTGATTCTGTTAAAGTCTGTCATCTCTCAAATACAGAAAGTAAATGGAGTGGAAACTGTTTAGATGCTGCAGAGGGCTGGATTGGCCAGAAACATCTTAAGGGTCATCTTACAACTATACTTTAGAGCCACATTCTTATATGGCATTCTACTTGGTAAAGTATGTGCATTCTTTGTGAGGTTTCTTCTTGTTAGCTGAGAATTTGTGGGAGGTAATATTCAAGGGAATTGTTAAATCAAGACAGATTTTCCAGAAACTAAACTGCACTGTGAACAAAGCAAGGATATATTAGTGTGTGTAGGCAACATAAAGGCTTCTGACAGAAGTCTTAAATAAGAGGCTAAGCCCTGGGAGAGCCAAAGTTGGCTTCTGTTTGAGGAGGAGTGTTCTCACATTTTTCTTTTTAGAGGTGTTAAATCAAGCATGACTTGAGTCAATTATTGCACAAGTAAAGGGTAACACTAGTTTTAGTTTATTTGTTGGGTCTTTTCATCCCTGAAAGAACTTTATTTGAACCAACTCAGACGGTATTTTAATCCACATTGCTATTCTGATATACTATTGTTTAGAGGAAAAGACCCAGGAATTTTTGGATACAAAAGATTTTTTTTTCACAAATGAATGTTGATATACCAATATCATGTCTATATATTCCTCATGATAAAACTGTATTTAGACTTCAGGGTCCATATGTAATTTTGCATTCCTTGTAAGAGGGTAAAAGAATAACTCTTATGTTTCAGTGGGAAAAAATATTTTTCCAAAAATAAATGGCATGAATTGGCAAAATTTTCATGAATGTTTGAGAACAGATTATGTCCAACATTTGAGACTCCGCATTCACTGAAAGACATTACTCAGACTTGGACTTCTGAGACCAGCTCTCCTCAGGCTAGCTGCAGGCTGGAGTGACACATTTCCTGTTGGACTTACTGCTCAGTCCTGAGAAAATTAGCCAGAAAGAAATACAAGTCCTGAGACTCTCATCTCCCCATCTTTTCCATTAGGTGCATATTTGGGAAAGAAAATTTGGAATTAATGTGCTCTACTTAAAATCCTTTTTGAGAACACAAATTTTAATCTCCTTAAAAAAATCTGTTCCCACCTTTGAAAAGTGTAACAGTATCTGTTACATGAGCTTCTGAATAAGAAGAGAAATATGGCCATAGTCTCAGCTTTAAAAAAAGAAAAAAAATTATACTAGAGATTAGATCACCAGAATTAGCATCATGCAAGTTTTAAAGTATTACTTTTTTTGGAGAAAGAAGGTAATTCCTAAAGATCTATGCATCATGTATTCGTGTAATCAAAACTAAGATAAATATTTAAGTCCTTTCCAAAATTCTGTTCCCATGTTTAACAACCCTCACTATTAGAAGTCTTCCTTGTAGAGGAATTTAAATTCTTTATTTTGGTTATCCTTTTTGCTTCTTTTGAGTGGACTTAGGGAACAGCTGATCATTATCCTAAGTAATGGATGGTTTCATTTCTTATGTATTCGAAGGTATGTTACATAGGATCCTGTTCTCATAAGATCAGTTACCTGTTCTTTTAATCATTTTGGTTCCATGGGTTATAGAAGCTAGACTTGGTGTAATCTAGCCGTGGCAACCTGGGAATGCAAGGTACAGGTTTGAGAATAAGTTTCCCCAGTGAGACCACCCCTGCTATATACCATTCTTACCAGATTTTGTGAAGGTTTGAATGCAGCATTCAGAACACTGTAAGGCAATTGAAATTTATTTATTATTAAGATTTATCCACAAACAATCTTCATAACCTCTATACACTATAACAAGGAATGCAAAATTACATTTTTTCATTTCTAAAGGCTTTCACATTGTAAATGATTTTGATGTCACATTCCAACATAATTAATTAATATAACCTTTATCTTTTAAAAAAGATCAGGTGGTCTGAATAATGTAAATATCAGAGGGAATTCAGACACATTGTTAGTAAATTGATAAGTAGCTCTGAGGTTACAAAGGAAATTTCCTTGCTCCTTGCAAAAATTTCCTTGCTCTATTTGTGGAGCAAGGAAAGCCTATAGTGAAATTAACCCTTTCATTTAAAAAAAATGGGAATTAGTTAAAATATAGGAAATATGGGGACCAACAGGTGGCATGGTGATTAAGGTGCTGGACTCCCACATGACTGACTGCGGTTTTGGTCCCAGATCTTATGGCTTGCTTTCTCCTCGACCCCTTTGTCTCTGCAAATTAAATAATAATAATCAATGAAATGAAATAATTCTTTAAAACAATATAAGAAATGTGGGACATAATGATAAATTAAATGAAATAATTCTTTAAAATAATATAAGAAGTATGGAATATAGTGCAAAGTTTGGCCATGAGACCTTGAGCACTAATTACTTTAACTTTCATTATATATAAAACGAGCACCTTAGTACCTAAAATACAGTGAGTACATCATTTGCAGTACCTAGCACAAAGTGCTTTGCTTGTACATACCGCTCCTGGGTTTTTTCCCATCATCATTGTACTAGTCAGAGTTGTTTAGAGAGAAAGAGAGAGCCAAGAGAAGATCTATGCTAGAGGGAATTTATTAGGAGAATCAGCTCATACAATTATGGTGGCTGAATAGTTCCACAACAGGCCATCTGCAAACTGCAGGTCACTTAGTTCGGTCTAAAGGCCTCAGAGCGGAAAAGCTGTTCATCTGACTCTCAGTCTGAGACTGAGTCTGAGAATGCACAGGAGCCATTGGTTTAGTCCGGGAGTCCAAAGGGAAACAACCTGGAGTTCCGAAGTGCAAGGAAGGAGTCTGTTAGACTCTAAGAAATCCATCTGCCTTCTATATTTGTTCTCTCTGAGCCCCGTTGATTGGATAGTGTCCACCCACACTGAGAGCAGGCCTTCCCCATCTCATCCGCCCAGATGTACATGGCAGTCTTTTCTGGAGACCCCCTCACAGACACCCAGAATGATGCTTTACCTGGTTTCCAGGTTATTTCTTGATCCATACAAATTGACACTGGAAACTAACCAAACAGTCGTCTTCCTCATCATCATCACTTTAAAGAAGACAGAGATGGGGGCTAGCAGGTGGTGTGGTGGTTAGGATACTGGACTCCCACATAGCCGATTGTAGTTCAAGTTCTGGAACCGGTGGCTTGCTTTCTCACTTTCCCCCTCTGTCTCCGTCTCTCTCTGGTCAAATTAAATAATAATAATAATAATAATAATAAATAAATAAAATAATTATTTTTAAAAAGACAATGAATCTGACCCAGATGTCACCACCCAGCCCAGGTGCGCATCAGGATCTGCAAAGGATTTCCACTAAAAGCCACTTTGATGGACTCTCTCTGGAACTCCCATTCTTTCTATCACTTTGTGTGCTTTTGGTGTCTGTATCATAAGACTTGTGTCTATGTGTTGCCATGTCTCTGAATCACTATTTTTTTTTTAAGAGATTTTTCCTATAGAGCTCATGCACTCAACAAAGAGACAGACAGAAAACGAGAAATCACCCACCCCGGGAGGGACATGGCCACACAACTAGCCCTTCTCCTCCTGTCACCTCTTGGAATTTAGGGAACACTCACATACACGCACACATACCCAAAATGAGTTTTAAGCTACTGGGTTTGAGACTCAAACCATGGTTTACTACTTGAGAGTCTAGCAATGTACTGTTTTTCATAAAATGTATTTATGAAACTAGAGAC